CCTACCTCTCTCTCTCTCTCTCTCTCTCTCCCTCAGTGTTCGAAAAACTGGCCGGTCGGAACCCGAACCAGCCGGTTAGCTCGCTACCTGTGGGGTGACGATTCCGGTTAGGTCCGGTTTTAGTGTACTAGTAAAAAAACACAGCGTCCTGAAAAAAAACGGCTAAAAAACCTGCCAGTTTGGCCTTGAACTGGCGAAATTTTGACAAAACCGGCTGGTTCTGTGAAAACCGGTCCGGTTTGGCGTTATATCGGGCGATATAACGAAATAACGACACAACAAATAACAACCGTTATTTGTAACAGTGCCTGTTATTTGAGCAGACCCCGTGATCCGCCATTTTTTGCAGCTTTTTGATTCTTTTTTTTGCCGTTTTTTTTTTTTTTTGGCTCAATAATTGTACTATACCTTCAAATCTTCTATAAATCTATCAATATTGAATCAAAAACTCCAAGATTAGATCGATTTTGGTGATTTTTGGTGCATTTTTTGGTGTTTTTGAGTTTTTTTATGAAAAATCCGCCATTCCTTTGATTTTGACCTGGTTTTTCAGTTTTTTTCGATAAAAAGTTGGGGATTTTAATGATCACAGAGATACATATACTTCAAGACTCCTGATTTCATTGAAATGGAGAGATTTGGGGCTCGATTTTGAGATTGAAGCAAACAAGGTAAGCCCGAACCCAAATTTTTTTCTTATGTTTGCAGCTTTTTTAGGATTTTTTAGACAATATTTGACTAGTATTATTTATTGCAATAAATAAAAGAACGATTTTTTAACAACAAAAATAAAATTTGGAGCTCGATTTTAAGAATTTAGGTTTTTTGGAGCTCGATTTTTGGAATTTAGGGTTTTTTTTGTTTTTAATGTTATATAATATATATGTTTATAAAAATATGTTTTTTGTGATGAATATGAGAATATATATACACAATATTTGTGTGAGATTATTGATTGCATAAAATAAATGAATGTATATTAGAACAAAAACAAAAATTTGGAGGTCAATTTTGTGGTTTTTAGGAATTTTCGGGATTTTAGGGTTTATTGAATGAAAAATAAAATTGATATTTTTTTTGTGAGGATTGTTTTTAATGTTATATAATATATAAATTTATAAAAATATGTTTTTGTGATGAATATGAGATTATATATAAACAGTATTTGTGTGAGATTATTGATTGCATAAAATAAATGAACAAATTTTAGAACAAAAACAAAAATTTGGAGGTCGATTTTGGGGATTTTAGAGATTTTGGGGATTTTAGGGTTTATTGAATGAAAAATAAAATTGATATTTTTTTTGTGAGGATTGTTTTTAATGTTATGTGATATATATATTTATAAAAATATGTTTTTTGTGATGAATATGAGTATATATATATATATATATATGTTCAATAAAAAAAACTTGTATTCCAAGTAATCTTTAAATTTTAGGGGGACATTTTTTACGAATGATTTGATTTTGGGGAGTCATTTTGATTAAAAAAACACTCAGTATTCTTTAAGTATCGAACTACCTGTTGGCTATACTTCATTATGCAATTGTGTCATAAAGCCTTAAGATTTTATATCTTTATGTATGCAGTAATGTTATGAAAAATGGATATATTTAGTTGTTCAACTTTAATTGTGTTTAAAGCCCATTTTTATAGAGGTTTTAGTTTTGACATCATATCTTATCATATCTTCAGTTTTGGCAGCATATCTTAATTTATATAAAAAGTATTTTCAATTTTTTTTGTAAGAGAAATGTATGTAATATATTAGTATACACTTAATCTAAGTTTTTCTATTTTTTTCAATTGTTTTTTATTTTTTTGGACGTTTTTTACTTTTTTTTAAAAAAAAAAAACTACTTGATCGGTTAAAACGGTTAACCACCCCGGTTAGTCCGGTTCCTGTTCAAGCCGCTCCCAGCCTCAAAACCGGTAATCGTTTCGGTTCAATTTTGCGAACATTGCTCTCCCTATATATATATATATATATGGAAAAAGTTTGTATAGAGTCGAGGCTCTAAACAATAAAATTAGAGCCTACCTTAAAAATTTCACTAGAAGAGGTTGTTTTGATGCCCAAATATCCTCAAATTGATCATCTCGACATCAAGATGCATGAACACGAGAAAAAAAAAAGAATTTCAAGTTTTGGAAATTGTCCATCTTGTAAAGCATTTTTGGACCGTCAATTTTCAAGATTTTCAAGCTTTTATAGATCCATTTGATCTACACTATTTTTGAAGCTTTAAATTTTATAATTAAATATGAAAATATATTTTAAGGCTAACACAAAGATTTCCATTATTGAAACCACATTTCTTGAC